TCCTCATGTCTCTCTTACAACTCTTGTCCTTGTCTGCCGGCTCTGCTCACCCAGCCTATTACCTGGAGCTCAGTTCTCTGCACCTCCTCTTCCACCATCTGGCTCTTCTGCTGGTGGCTGTAGTCCCATCCTCTTGCGGAACATGGCCTCGGGTGTCACATGTTCCCTACAGAGCTGTGTCCGCCTGGTTGTCTCAGGATACCTTAAACTCGGCCCCTCCCATGCTACAATTTGCATTGTTTCCCCCAAAACTCTCTCCTCATGTGGACCATGTGACCCTTTCTCCCTCCACAGTGGCTTAATCATTGGTTTCTAATGCTTCTGTCTCCTTTCTAGTACCCGAGGCTTCTCTCCTGTCCACTGCCACTGACTTGTCATTCATTGCCTCTTATCTGGATTCTGGTAACAGCTTCCTAATGTGCTCCCTAGTCTCAATCTTTTCTTTTTTTCCTTCTTTCCCCTCCCATTTCATTTCATAGGTCTTGTTATATAGTTTGGGCTGGGCTACATTTACTGTGTAACTTAGGCTGGACTCGAACTTGCAGATATCCTCCTGCCTCAGCTTCTTGAGTCCTGAGATTACAGGCATGCACCACCAAGCCTGGCTTCCTTAACTGTTGTTAAATTTATTGCTATAATATAGATATACATAATGATCACATTCATCAGAGGGAGTTTGTGCCTGTACATGAGCTTTTTTTTATTTTATGGAAAAAAGGTAAAACAAAATTTCATAACAAAATAATAGAATGACAATAGTTAATATGTTACATGTTATCTTTAAAGTAGTTGCTTAAGGGCTAGCCAGATAGCTTAGCAGACTAAAGCGCCTGCTTAGGCAGAGAGCAGCAGCTGGGGTTTGATCCCTGGCTTGCCATGCTGGCCCTACCCTTGGGGTATGCTGAGATGGTGATTGAGACTGGGCGTGGTGGCATGCACCTGTAATCCCAGCACTTGGGAGGCTGAAAACAGAAGGGTCACTATGAGTCCAATCTACATAGTGAGGACCTGTAGACCCTGTACTAAATATATAAAAAAATTATTTTTTTAATGAGAATATCACCTCATGCATTTTATTACAGTACTGTAAAGCTGTCTAACACCAGCAGGTTGGGTCATATGAGGTTAAGAACTACTGTGTGTCACATTTTAAAAAATTAATAAGGACCAGGGAGATGGCTCAGTAGAATAAGCGCTTCCCTGGCAAACAGAAGGGCATGAGTTCAATCCCCGGTTCCACACACACACACACAAACACAAATAATTAATTAAAAAAAATAATAAAGCACTTGCTCAGGGTACAAGATACGGTCTCAGTTACTGTTCTCTCATTGCTGGGACAAATATCTGACACCCAAAATGAAGGAACAAAAGGTTTATTTATCTCACAATTACTGGAGGTTTCAGTCCATACTCAGCTGGCTCCATGCAGACTGGCACATGGCAGGGAGCAGCAGTTCATGGTGGCAGCAAAAAGCAGAGAGCAAAAGGACAGGAGCAGGGGCCGGGGAGATGGCTCAGTGGAATATGCACTTCCCTGGCAAGTGCAAAGGTTTGAGTTCAATTCTGGGTTCCGCCAAAAAGAAAGGACAGGAGCAGTACCAAAAACAATGGCAACAGAGAGGAAGTTTGCTCTTAAATTGCATTCAGGCTACCTGCCCCAGGCTGGGTGTAGCTCTCACACCCATAATCCCAGTGGATCATGAGTTAATCACGAACTCTAGAAGTCTGCCCCATGATTGCATGAGGCTGGGTGGTGGTGGGGATATACACAAACCATAACAACATAAAAATTCCTCCAACCAAAATTAGATAAAGATATTATAGGCCCTCAGACAGGGCCAGGCCCTCAAGGAGACAAGATGGACGCCAACGTGACTTTGCAACTTGGAAGAGACAGACACTCCCATGAGTCACACCTCAAGACCAAGACAAAAGAGAAGACACAGCTACATACTTCCGTAGGGATGGGCATAGGGGATTGATATTCTAAATAGGTATCAAACACCTTGAAAGAGCCCAAATGTCACTAGCCCAACCCAGTTTATTCTTCCCTCATTTCCCCCTCCATAAGTTACCCTTTCCTTTTGAACAATTTCTTCCTATTTCATTATATCTATCAACATTTTGGTTCTTACACTTTCAGTTTCTCACACCAGAGAGATAATGGGATATTTACATGTGTGTCTCATTTATTTTACTTAAAAATTATGGCCTCAAGGTCCATCCATGTAGCCATAAATGCATCAAGTTTATCCTTCTTTATGGCTCAGTAGTACTCATCCTTTTAATCCTCATCTTTTTAACCAGTCATCAATCCCTAGTCCCAGTCTGCACCTTCCATCATGATGTCACTGAAATTTGCCATGACTTTGTGTCTCCCCAACCGTTGTCCAAGTCATTTTCCCTATCCTCTAATCATTCCTTAATCCTCTTCTCCCTCCTTTACAAAGTCTTCTTTGACGTCTCCCACCACAACCCTGTCCCCCAAGTGCTCTTCTGAACCTTTGCCATGCCCCTCTAGCCCTTGCCAAACCAAGAGTTGGCTGCCCATCTGGGCTGAGTTTCTAATGTCTTTGCACTCCTGATGCCAGATCCCAGAGCCTGCCTCTTAGCTGGTACTACTCTTAATCACTGTTTAGGAAGTAAACCACGAGGAAATAGAATGCTCTGACTTCACTCTCCCAAACTCCCAGATTGTGATTCCTTTGCTTAAAACTGGATTTTCTTCAAGATGTGGGCCATTAATTCCAAAGAATTGAGCCAAACCCTCTCTGCCTGTCTTGCTGTAATCTGACCACCGTCCCCAGCAGGAGGACCTGGGATTGTCTACACCGTGTGAGGAGCCTGAGGTGCAGCAAGGTTATGTCATCTGTGATAGGTCAGGACTCAAAGTTTCCAGGACACTTTGCCTCAAACATTCTCTCCGTTTCCTGGTAACCCAGCCAACCCCAACCCTGCCCCACATTGTACTCTGGTCTCGGCATACTTCCCCTTGACCCATGTTGGTCTCAACTCCTTTCTGACATAAACAAAGTTAAAAAGGAAGATAAACGATCTTCACCTGAATTCTGGCTGTTCCAGCCCACAATCATGCTCTCTGAAACTCGTGAGCTGGCTGTTACCTGGCTGTTCCAGCCCACTATTACCCTCCCTGAAAGATCCTATAAAGTCTCCTGCCCCCTTTGTCTGATGCTGTCTTGGTCCATGAGGCAGCCCCCATGCACTTCCAATAAACCTGCTTCACTCGTATCACTGTGTCTGGTCCAGTACTGCATGAGTTTGGCCATCCAGATTTGACCTTTTTTTCTTTTTCTTTTTTTGTATTTTAGGGAAGGGTCTACAGGATGTTCAGGGTTTCACTACTAGATAAGACATGAGACTCGTAGTGATCCGCCTGTTTACAGCCTCCCAGGAGCTGGGGTTACAGGTGTGTGCCACCACATGGGGTCTCAATTGCTGTCTCAGTGCCCCGCGGGGGTGGGGCCGGCACAGCAGGCCTGGGGATTGAATCCCAAACCCTGGCCCCTGCTTGCAGGTGTTTTCATCTGCTGAGCTATTTGGCTGGCCCTTGACCTTTCAATCTGCCCAGTCAGGCTGAGAGTGCTGGGCTGAGCCTTGAGGTTAGGTCTGTCTGACTAGAGCAGGGCCTGTGCTGTGGCATTTGGGTGTCGAGGGCCTGGCCCTGGCCCTGTGCTCCCAAGTTTCTTGCTGCCGTTTCTCTTGCACACTCCTGGAGGTTGGACATGGCTGTGTTTTTCTGGCTCCCAGAAGCCAGTCAGGACCGGCAGCCGGCAAGACTAGCGGTGTGTTATGGTTTGTGTATAGGTGACCCCCCAAAGCCTCATGCAGTCTTGGGGAGGCTTCTGGAGTTTGTGATTATTGTGGGTGTGGATGCTGCACCTGCCCTGGGGCAGGTAATTTGCATTTCAGTGAAAGGAGGGAAGAGAAGTTAGCTGCTTGAGCTGCTGCTACCCCTCCCTTGCGCTCCTGCTCTTTGCCGCTGCCATGAAAGGTTGCTCTCTGCCATGTGCCAGGCTGCCTTGGAGCCAGCTGAGTATGGACTGAAACCTCCAGTAACTGTGAGCTAAATAAACCTTTCCTTCCTTCAGTTTGGGTGGGGTATTTGTCCCAGCAACGAGAGAAGAGTAAGACACGGTGGTTCAGTGGTAGGAAAAAGCTTGTTGCTTCTTTCTGCCCTCAATGGCTGTTCTTTAGCCAGTGTCCCTCCTCCCCCATTAAGGTACGCAAGCCAAGCCAGTGTTTATCTTGGGCTCTGGGGCTACGCCAGGGCAGCCAGGCAGAGCTGGCTGGAGTGGCTCAGGTGAGCTCAGTGGGGGAAGGGTGGGTGCTGGGCCCACCAGAAGCCTCTCCAGGGAGGCGCTGCCTGTCCCACTCCCTGTGTTCCTTGCGCCAATACTTTCAGAAGGATTTGTCTGCCAGCTCCACCTGCAGAAGGTGTTCAAGCCTTACCTGTGCCCAGCTCTCTTTTGCTTTCACTAAAGGACACAGATGAGCGATTAGTCCTCAGGAGGGGTAGGTTCCCAGTTCTGGTCAGGCAGTCTCACCGGGCCAGAGCACTCAGGAGAGGGGGAGGGGTGCATGCCCTTGGGTCTTTGCCCTTGGCCTCCCCAAAGCAGTCTGTCTCACTCAGCTCTTCACTGGCTACTCACGACCTACTAAGATGGGGCTCCCACACTTCACATGGGCCATATCTCTGTCACTTTTTACCAGGACCTGCTGCTTAGCTGGTTCTCAGCTGGTTCTCGGTCTAGCTTTGGTGCTTTTCCCTTGACTGTACGGGAACAGTCAAGGTTCTTCAGAAAGGAGTCCTCAAAAATTATGCCTTACCTTTATTTATTTCAAGGTTCTTGTCCTATACGGGTAGGACAAGGTATAGAAACCTGCAGTCTTTAAAAGCCTTGCCAAGTGAGGCAGCTGCCCACCAGACAAGACTTCCCCTTCTTGCCACCCTCTCCCCCTGGCAGTGCCCCACTCACCCGAGTCCCGATGTAAGGGCCATAGGGAGCAGCCAGTTGAACAGCTTACAGTCGGCGAACAAATGACCTGCTCAGGTGGTGGTGGCTGGAGTGAGGCAGCTCCTTCCTGCCCCCCACCTCAGGAACCACACCCACAAGAAAAGCAGATAACTATCCAGGGAGGTGTGCTGCAGGGTAGGGCCTACGGGAGGATGCTGCAGCACCTGGCCAATCAGTAGAAAGAGGTGGACCTGCACTGGCCACATAGTGAGCTTCATATTGGGTTCTTTCCTCCCCAGAGGCTTTTGAGCTTCTTTTTAGTCCTTTCTGAAAATGCCCAGGTGAGGGTGTGCCACTCCTCCTCAGATGAAGTTCTGCTGCATAGATGGGCCCAACTGGAGCTGAAGAGCATTGAACAGGCTCTTCATTCCTCAGTAAAGTGGGGTGCTTACACTAGTCCAGTGTGAACTGGCTAAGATCAGGGCTGTGGAACAGTTTTGTGAAGCTCACAAGGCAAGCTTCGAAGGCTCAGTAGAAAAAGCGCTTGCCTGGCAAGTGCAAGGGCCTGAGTTCAATCCCCAGTGCTGAAAAAAAAAAAAAAAAAAAAGTGCAAGTGGAAGTTGGCTGTGGTGCACACGCCTGTAATCCTAGCACTAGGGAGGCTGAGGCTGGAAGATCACTGCCAGTTCAAGGCCAGCCTAAACTATGTGAGTTCAAGGTCAGTCTGAATTACATAGTGAGACTATGAGACTGCCGCAAAAAAACAAAACAAAGTGCCAGTGGTGTTGCACTGGAGTCAAAACATTCAGTGGACCACGATCAAGAGTTCGAAGGTAACAGGAAGAGTGTGTACCAAAGGTTGGGAAGTACCCTGTAAAACCTGAGTTATGATCAGGGCTGGTAAACCTTGGTGTACAGTAAACAGCAGAGGCAAATGTACACTTAAAGACCTGCCTTTCAAGCTTGCAGTAGGTTGGGACTTGTCACCCAAAGCAAAAAACAAGAGTCTTGTTATTACTGTGTAAGTCATTCCCTCAAATTCACCTAAGTTTTGGTTTTGCCCCCCTCCATCACACCCTTAGAAACAAAGCTTGGGTGGCGCCTGGTTTTTGTTTTTTCCCACATGAGACCTGTCAGAGTAAGTGCCATGTGACCCTCACACTGTGTAGTGAAAGCCCAGAAGATGCCCTTGCTGCCCCCTGACCCCAGGCTCTCTATACCGGCAGGCAACCCCAGGGACTCCAGGATTGCCCGGCCTTGGCCCCACAGGGATAGATGATCACTGGTTTGTCCTGCTGCTGGTGAGAGCTGCATTTTAACAGGTTCTTCAGAAAGGAGTCCTCAAAATTATGCCTTACCTTTCTTTCAAGGTTCTTGTCCTATATGGGTGGGACAAGGTATAGAAACCCGTGGTCTTTTAACAGTTGTTTAAATAAAAGCCTTGCCAAGTGAGGCAGCTGCCCATCCTGTGAGCTAGGCCCAGGTTCTGCTTCATACCAGAGAACTTGCTCTTCTTGAGCCCGGTGCCTGGGCCTGGTACACAGCCCACTCCAGCCACTGCTGTCTGCTCACACCTCATGCAGCCCAGCCAGTGGGACCACCCATCTGCACTTGTGACCATGCAGTGCCTTTGCCATACTGCTTTGGCCCAAGATGCCCTTCCTTCCCCTTCCTGTAGGCTGAGTGTCACTTCTTCTGTCCTGATCCTAAAAATTGCTAGGAAAATCCAGAGAAGTAAATCTATTCTCAAGGGCCCTTCTGGACACTGGACAGCTCCCACTAAAGTCATCTTGTTGGAGAATAGTAGACTCTGAGTTCCACCCCGGGTGTTCCCCACCATGTGTACCAGACAGGAATGGTGGGGAGGTGCTCGGGACAGTTGGGGCAGGCAGGGGGACACACACTTGCAATGGCCCAGACACAAACTGTGATGGAGGCACAGGTGCCAGTCACAGTGGCCATGTCTTATCTTTACAGGTGAAAAGTAGCCATGCAAATTGAAAAAACAAGCATCTCTATAGGAGAAAGTCACAGAAGAGGCAGATTTTAGAGATTTATTTTTAAAAAACAAAAGGTTAAAAAAGTCCTTCATTTCCAATCCTGCCTGGGGTGTGGGTGGGGAATAGAACAAGCTGAGAACGATGTCCACCCCTTCCAGGAAGGGTTGGACTCTTCCTCTGGGAGTTGGAGGACAGGGCAAGTGAGAGGCAGCGTTCGCCCTGCCCAGCCTCCTCCTCAGCCAGTGTTAGCTGCTGCCAGGAAGTTTTACAAGCAGAGAAATATGGGGATGGGAAGTCAAAGGTTGCCTTCTTCACACATCCTGCCTCCAGCTGTTCTCTCCCCTCAGCTCTTGGGTTCCACACAGGGCTCCCAGGGGAAACAGGCACACTCAGCCTAGCTCGGCCCCTGGGCTACACAGCCAAGCCCACTGGCTGTTTCCTTAACGCTGCTCGGAGACAGCAGGGCAGTCAGGGACATTACAGGTGGGGAGGAGCTTCAGAGACCTCTTGACATATCTGGAGAGGAAACCTAATTCCCACAGAAGCTACCCTTCTGTTCTATTCCCCATCCTCAGGCCAAGTGGAGTCCAGGACAAAGCACTAAGTGGCCATTCGCTACAAAACACGTGGAGATGCCACAGGGCAGCTCATGGCCCATCAGCCCAGGCTCCCACACAGTCATACAGTCACACACACAGCGTTAAGGCGTCTATGCCAGCAGGCATGGCCAGAGTGGGTCCAGCTTCCCTCTCCAGCTGCAGAGGGGAGAAGGGGAGAAGTCCCCTGTGGCTGCCAAAATAGGCTGAAGGGTGAGAAGCTGGCAACGGAAGGCTAATCAGGCCTGGAGAAGGAGGTGGGAAGAAGGAAGGCAAGGGCTTTCAAGGCCTCTACCCAGGCCTGCTGGCTGCCCGCGTAAGTAACCCAACTTATGTTGGGGAGCCCTGACCATAAACCCCCTGGAAAATGGGGGACAGAGAGAGGGGAAGAGAGTGGGGCTAGAGTATTGGGACTTTGGAGGAAGCCAGTGCTATCAATATTTACAAGCATAAAGCCCCATCTTCTATACCCCCTGCCTCTCTGCCCCCCCCAAGAAATGAAAGGCCCCTGAGAGCCATTGAGGAGGTACCTGGACCTCCCCACCAGCCGTGTCCCTCCAGAGAGGCCCTTCCCTTTGACTGGCCTCATCTCCAGGCCTCTCAGGAATGTCTGTCTGGCTGTGCCCAGTTGGGAGCCCTGGGCCAGACCCAGCTGCCCTGCCAGCCCTAGGAGTCCTTCAGCATGCTGATGCGTGCATAGATCTTCAGAGCAGGCCCCAGCTTGATGTTCATGGCACTCATCAGGTGGTCCTCCTTGAGCAGCAGCAGGGCTTGCCCGTCAATCTCCTGGGCACGAAATTCCTCTGCGATCTCCTGGCAGCCTGGGGGGAGCCACCAAAGACAGCATGAGTTGAAGTGACAGCATTCATCTGTGGCAGGCAGCTGTGAGGGGCAGCCTTTTCTCTGAGGTTTATTACTGAGGCTGTTGCTATTCTTATCCTGCAGCTTGTGAGCGGCTAAGTGATTTAGCAAAGGAAGTCCTGATCCAGGCCTCTATCTATGTCCTAAAACTGCACTGATCCAGATGGCAAACACAAATAAGGTGGTATGGAAGTGACCATGTGCGATTCCTGAAGATAGATCACAAAGTGTACAGTGGCTTTCACCTTTTTCTTCTAGATTATTTTAGAATAAGTTCACCATCCTGTCACGAGACCCCTTGGTGGCAGCTCTCAGGAGAGGGCCACATGGAGAGCTACTAAGGACCTGCCTGCCATTGAAGGAACCATTTGCAAGGAAATCCTCCAGTTCCACACCTTTAGATGACCAGTCCCAGATGATGTCGCTCAGACCGGGTATGCATCTCTAAGCCAGAGCGGTTAATAGCCACTAAATTCTAGAGTAATCTATATCACAGTGGATAACTAAAAAAGATGTTATCTGGAAGAGGGGTGCTGTCATTAAAAACAGAAGTGGGCATGGTCTTAGACCTGGAGTGTGCAGCAATTGGGTGGATGTTAGGAAGTGTCAGTGAACAGCTGAAGTGCTGTGACACCATGAGCAAAACCCTGACAGCCTCGTGGAAGTGGCTGAGGAGCTTAAAGGCAATTAAGGAAATCACTATTGAAGATTACAAGAGACACAGGGCCGGCCAGATAGCTCAGCAGACTAAAGCACTTGCTTTGTCAGATGTAGGGACCAGGGTTCGATCCCCAGCTCCACATGCAGTGCTGGCCCTGCCCCCAGGGAACCCTGAGATGGTGACTGAGACTGGC